TCTTCTAAATCCTCTTCCCTGACCCCACCCACCCTTTTTTTATTCTCTTTCTTCTTTTTTTTTTTTTTTTTTTTAACGAGAGAGAAACAGAGATTCTTTGATAGGGTCTTGCCTTATCTGAGTCCTCCTGCCATTTAGCTAAGACTGCATGTATGTGCTGCCATGCCTGGCCTATTGAGGTTGGGCTGAGAAATAAACCATGGTCACCCACGTAGCCTCAGCCTCCAAATAGCAGTGCTTTTGGTAGCATAAACCACCACAACTTTAAAAATTCCCCCCTTTTTTTTTGAGAGAGATTTTTGCTATATGGCATTTGTGCTTATCCTACAGACAGAGAGAGAGAAAGTGAGAAATCACCACTCCCCCAAGGGTAATGGCCATTCCTCAGTCCCTTCTCCTCCATTCTGCCCTTAGAATTTTAGACTTGCATGCACACACATCTGGCATGAGTTTCAAGCCACCAGGTCCAGGACTTAAACTGCAGTCAGCCATGTAGGAGTCGAGAGTCTTAACCACTATGCCACCTGCCGGCCCCAGTCGCCCCTCTCTCTCTTTTTTATCTTTTTTTGCTAGTTTTTTCTATAAAGTGTATGTGTGTACCAGAGAGATACAGAGAAAGAGGGGAAAGCTAAGAAATCGCCCCCCATGGGGGATGACCACACTTCAGTCCCTTCTCCTCCAGTCTCCTCTCAAGATTTTGGGAACACACACACACATGCACACGCTTGCATGTGCTCATGCCTGGGTTGATTTTCAGGCTGCCAGGTCCGGTACTCAAACTGTGTAATTGGCCATGTGGGATTCAGCACCTCAACCTCTATCCCACTTGCTGGCCCAGTCCTCTTCTTTTTTAACTCAGGGAGGTCATCATCTTTGTCCTGAACCAGTACAGATTTATTCTGCCTACACTTGCTGTCCCTTGACCTTCATCAGCACAAAACCGCAATCTGACCATCCCACCCACAGCCCCAAGTCTGAGGCTCTCTTTGCTCACAGCAGTAGTCTTCAAATGTGTGACTATATACCCATCATACCCTTCTGCTCAAACTGTCCAAGCAGATACCTGTGACACAGTTGCGTGTTTATGCTATGTGTACATGTGTGTATTAATATATTATAGACATTGCAAAAGGTAGACACCCATTAACAAGTTTTACAATAAGGTGAGGGGCTGGATGGTGGCATGGTGGTAAAGCACAGTGCCCTACAAGGCTGATTCACGCGGGAAAGTTTCGGGTGCATGTCCTGAATATGCCAGGCATGTGCATGCCCATGATCTGTGCTAGCTGGGGCTGGGGATAGGTCGTGGCTTCAAAACCCTGTTGGGGGACCAGGAGTTAGCGTAATGGCTATGTCGCTGGACTCCCACGTAGTCAACCACGGTTCGCGTCCCGGACCCAGTGGCTTAGAACTCGTGCCGGGCACGTGTGCATGTGTGCCCAAGATCCCGAGAGGAGAATGGAGGAGAAGGGATTGCGGTGTGGCCATCCCCCCTGGGGGGTGATTTCTCCCTTTCTATCTCTCTGTCTCTCTGTCTGTCTGGCGAGTGCACACGCCCTATAGCAAAAACCTCTCAAAAAAATAAAAAATAAAAAAATAAAAAAACCCTGTTGGGAGAGCTTGCGCTCTCTCTCTCTCTCTGTTAGTTCTTACTCATGGAATAAATAAATAAGTAAACTTTAAAAAATAAAAGATGAGATGAAATATTTAACATACTCTTTACATTTTATTTAACTGCCAGGTCAATTCCCTAACACAGTGGCTAAGGCAGTGCAGAGGAAGCCTGATCTCATCTCAGCCGTGGGGGTTCCGCCTTGGTCCTGGTGGCTTGGAAGACACGTTGGGCACTGAGTGCATGCCCAGGATCCTGAAGGAATGGAGGGCCCAGGGGAAATGACTAAATGACTGTGGCCTTACCAGGCCTAACTGGGGGGAGTGCTTGTTCTCCGTCTCTGTCCCTCTCTCTTCCTCTCCCTCTCTCTGTCCTGTGCACACACAGAACCTCTGGCATGTCAATTATTTTTTATTTATCTGCCAAAAAATCTTTTCATTCTCACTAAAAAAAAAAAATCAATATTTTAGTAATGTATTATTTATGATTGTATGATTTTTTTATCGTGATAATGTGTCATGCAAAGAGGTTTACCAGGTAGAAATGTCGGCCGTACCAATCTCATTGCTGTTGTGTGTGCTCTGTGTGTGTATTATATATTATATATGTGCATTTTATATATGTATTTATATATGTGTGTGTGTGTGTGTGTATACATATATATATATATATATATATATAGAGAGAGAGAGAGAGAGAGAGAGAGAATCTGTGTGACATTATTACCTTCAAACTCAGTTTCTTAGAAATCGTGAAACGACTTGTGGTTTTCAGCAGGTTTGTGGGTTTCGGCTGGGTAATACCACCTGCCATCTGTTCCGTACTCACACAGTAACTGCAGTAAGCACAGAGCCTGGACTTAAAGAGCCAAGTGGGAGGGCAGCACCCCAACCCCACTTCTCCCTGACAGCCCACCATGTGGTACAAGGAGAGCCATGAGCCTGTTTCATACTAAATACTGTATTTAGAGAGAGCTTTACGGAGATGTGTGTGCAGCTCCTTTCTGCTCCCCAGGGGCTCATCTGGTATGTGATACTAAACAGGGCCCCAGGTGATTTGATTTGACTTAGCCCTCTTCTCCAGTTTCTTCTAATTGCCTTTAGTTTGTATTTTAACAACATTCCCTTTGCTGTTCTGGCCCACTGTTTTTACTTCCTTTCTTTTGTGACTTGAATGCCTTCTCCTCCCACGTTCCTCTCCCTGGTGAACGCCTGCGCATCCTATATACCCTTCAGACCTTGAGTGTGCCTCTGCCCCCACTCTCCTAGAGAGAGCTAGGTGCCTTGCTCCATTGCCCCTGTGTGCTTCACACCTAGCTCCATGGTTGCACCATCTTCCATGATCATTACCTGCTTGCGAATTGGTCTACTTCAGTGGGCTGGGAGCACTCCGAAGTAGAGGGTAGTTTCCTTCATGTTTGTATGTTCAGGGCTTAGAAGAGTACTGTGTGTCCTAAAGTGCCTCATAACTGAATGCATTCACTAATTCCTTGAGATAGTGGCTATTTGCCCTCAGTTAGCAGAATTGTCTTCTTTGTGGCTGTAATGGTTATAATAATCCCTTTGTAGTTAGGCTGGCAGAAACATGGTCTGCCTCGGTCCAGTTCAGTTGCGGAGGTATTTATTGATTTTGTTCTCAGCATCTAGCTCTGGGCCTGTGCCACTAAGATGCAGAAGAAGACAAAGGATCTGCGTTGTCAGAGACCTAGTGAGGAAGGAAAGCTCAGCCAGCACTCCGTGCATTTAGTGCAGATTTCTCAGGGACCTTTTGCATGTCAGGTACTAGGGATTAGCAACAAAACAGACAAGACCCCTGTAGAACTTGCCTCTTAGTAGTAGGAAATAAAAATTGTGGTAGGCCAGGTGGTGATGAGTGCTGTGAAGAAAAATGAGCCAGGACATAGCAGTGGGAGAGTGACTAGCAGTGGAGGGTTGGGTAATGGGGGTGATGGTCAGGGGTAGACTTCACTCAAATGGTAACCTTTGAGCAAGGACTTCCTTCTTCAGGGACTGCACTATTTGCATACCTGGGGGGAGACTGAATCAGTGAACAGCTGCAAGTGCAAAGGTCCTGAGGTGTGGGTGCTGTTGGCTTGCTTTGGTGCTGCAGGGGTCCAGTGTGCCTCAGAGGAGTGGCTGGAAGGGGTAGGAGCAGGAGAGGAGGCCAGGGAGGTGGAGAGCCACAGCACAAGGCAGGCCAGAGAGGTGCTTCCAAGGACCTGGTCTTTCACTTGGAACAGAAGAGAGATGGGATCTGGCTCAGAATTTTGTAAATTCACACAGGCCTTGCATGGAGAGTGGACTCCAGGAGCAGGGACTGGACAGCAGAGAGTGGCAGTTAGGTTCCTTGGAGGATGGGAGAAATGACGAGACTTGGACCAGGGTGGCAGAGGTGAGGGAAGTGACAAGTGGTATGATTCTGAATGTATTTTGAAGGAAGTGTTCATCAGATTGGCTAATAAATGAGGTAGGTGCAAGACCGGGTGAGCTGAAAACACTCTAGTATCAGCAGTATGTTTGTGTGGACTGAGCAAAGGCATGGGCTCCGCTCAGTCTAAGGGCTCCTGGTGACCGTGACTTCCCTTTCCTACTTTGGCTCAAGGGTGAAGAGAGGAGACGGGAGACACATCTTTTCTCTGCGTGCACCGAACTCAAACCTTCTTTATCATTCTCTTGTTCTATAGATTAGTTCATCTAAACACTTTGCAAGTTGAACGTTGTTTTGATTTCTCACTTTTAATATTTAATTGAGAGGCATTTTGCATAATTTATCTTTCAGTCATTATAAATGAATTTAATAGTACACAATGATGTGGTGTATATGAAATATTTACCCAGGTTTTATCACAGAATATCGGGTTTGCTAACTGTTTTATCCTCTGTCTTTAAAACGGCCTGGGCACTCAAGAAACTTTTGTTGACTAAATCAGTTGTGTTATATTATGAAAGGAAATCTGAGTCTTCTCTTAATTGAGGCAATGTATAAAGAATGTATATAAAGCAGTGTATAATAACCATGCAGCGTTATCTTCAAGTACAGCAAATTTAAAGCAATTTTCCCCTGATTACTAAGAAGATATTGAAGTCATAGCAACTGACAGATATTCTGCTGATTTGCATTGTTAAAGCAATGCTTTACTGGTTATTGCTCTTTCATTCGTTTCTTCATTGTGGAGGAACCAATATGTCCGTGTGAGAAGCATGTTGAGTTGAGAGGAAATGGAGCCATTCAAGCTTAATGGTATTGCAGTGAGACAAAGTACTATCATATTTTAAGCTGTAATGTCATAATCCAATCCAAGAATAGCAAGGTTAATTCAAATTCGTTTGACAGTCATTTGTAGAATTCGTGGTCAATTATAGTAGCTTTTTGTTTTCTTTGAGTTTAGGTTCTGAATGTGACTCCCAATGATGGCTTTGCTAAGGTGCATTACGGCTTCATCCTGAAGGCGCAAAACAGGATCGCTGAGAGCATTCCCTATTTAAAGGTACTTGTGCCTGGTCTTTCTCTCTTTGGGTCTTCCTGCTGTCTTTGGGTCCTTCGGACACCCTGGATTATGCCCCGCTGAGTTTTTCCCTGATTAGGAAGTGCATGCTGACCATGCCCTCACAGGTAGTGTGCACCTCTCGAGTGAGAGTATCAGATGCAGAAATACCAACTGTGTGAGCAGAGACTGTATGAAAAAGACCTCGTCACGATATTCCTAAAACTGAAGTTGCTCGTTTTTAATTAAATGGCAAAAGTAGACAAAAATTAATTCACTATTTTTAGATCTGGACAGTACATTAAGTGTTCCTTTCTTCAAATTTTGCCAGAGGGCACATGCACTAGCAGAGATGGGGGAGGGAAAGCGAGAAGTGCGTCTCTGCCCCCTGGAATGGCCACGCTGCAATCCTTCCTCCTCTCTCTCCTCCTTTGGGTTTTGGGCATGCACACACATGCTCAGCACATTTCTCCAGCTCTTGGATCCAGGACTTGTACCGTACAGTTGGCCATGTAAGATCCAGCCACCTTAACAACTGCACCACCAGATGCACCCACACTGAATCTATTTTTTTTTTTTTTTTCCGGAGAGGTTTTTGCGATAGGGCATGTGCCCTCACCAGTGAGACAAGGAGACAGAAAAATGAGAAATCACCCCCCAGGGGGGATGACCATGCCACAATCCCTTCTCATTCATTCTCCTCTCTGTTTATTGGGCATACATGCACACTTGCCCAGCATGAGTTTAAGCCACTGGGTCTGGGACTCGAACCACAGTCTACTACATGGGAGTCCAGCGATGTAGCCATTACGCCATCTGCTGGTCCTGACTGAATCTATTTCTAACAGGACCCATGACTACCCACCCAAGGTGAGCCAGTGAATGCAGACTATGGTCAAATCCCAAAGTGCCTATGCTGTGAGCCCCAAATATTAAGGTTAGTTAGGCTGTTATTTATTTTCCTCAATGTCTAATTGAATCCTAGTCAAGTCACCAAAGCCCACACTTGGTCTAGCTCAGGGATATCCTGCAGAACTTCTGGCATGATGGAAATAGCCTTAATCCAGATTCTCCACTGCTGGGGTCACCAGCCACACGTGCCCTCTGAGCATCTAAAACACGGCTGCTGTGACTGAGGAAGTCGATTTCTAATTTTATTTTATTTTGATTAGTAGTAATGTGAATGGTAACACATATGTAGTAGTTATGCCCTAGAAAGGCAGCTGATCCGGTAACAAGGAACTTTCTTTAAGCAGCTCTGGTTCCCACTTCTGTAATCTCTCTCACATGACTTAAATGAGAGATCCCAAACCGTGACTACATGCATAATTTGCATGTTTTATTTGTTCTTATTAAAAACAATTTTAGTTGCTTGCTTTATTAGAGAAGCTGAATGTTTTACATAATCATGCAAATGTCTAGTTTTCCTTGAAAGGTCTTTCCACTAGCCTGCACACAGAACCAAGCACTGGGGCCCCCTTAAGGGAGGTGGATGCACACCTCCAGTCTTTTCTGGCTGTCACTGGGTCTCTGCAAACTTCTACATTCCCTGCCAGGGCCTGGCGGGCACATGCATGTCTTTGATGTAAAGTGTTCCCTTTACATTTCCTTTGACACAGGAGGGCCTCATCACACTCTTACTGCAGTAGGAATGCAGTTAGCAGGAGCTGGGGAGGCCCACTGACAAGCTAGGACGTCTGCGTGTTGGTCGGTAGGAGCTGGCTGCAGCTCTCTTCCGGTCCTGAGGGATGCTTCTCCCGTTCCATCCTGCTACTTGGCACTTCCCAACATGAGAAAAATAATGGGCTTCCTGGGAAGAGGGATTGGAGATGCAGACTTTTAGAAGTTCTTGACCTTTAAACATTTTTTGGCCTTTACCTTTTTCGTTTTCATTTTGTTATAAGTTGGCTTATTTCTTCTGAGAACAAGAGACAGAGAGATTCCCAGCGGAGTCTTCACACTGAAGTCTGCTCAGCCTCAGTCAGTTGGGATCATGGTGCATATGCACCTGGCTTGCACAGGGAAAGCCCAGGACATGAACCCAGGGCATTTTCATGTGATTTCTGTGTCACTGAGTGTTGTATTACTGCTGTACCGTCATGGCCGGCCTCCTTCTGCTTTACTAAATGTATCCTTTAAATATTTTCTCTATGTTTGGACATCTCAATTTTAGTCCTTGTGTAGGAGATTAGGTCAAATCAGCTAGACATTTAGAATGGGAATTATTTAATCAAAACAACATTTGTGAGCCAGCCTGTGGTGTGCTGGTTAAGACAGCTGGATCCCACATGACTAATTGTACAGTTCGAGTTCCGGACCCGACAGCTTGAAAAACACACGAGGTTCATTTGCATACATGCCTAAATTCTTGAAAGGAGAGTGGAAGAGAGAGAATTGAACCATGGCCTTTCCTCCTGGGGGGCAATTTCTCACTTTCCCTCACCCCAAGAATTGAACCATGGCCTTTCCTCCTGGGGGGCAATTTCTCTCTTTCCCTCACCCCGTCTCTTTCTGGTAAGTGCTCATGCCCTATAACAAAAACTGGAAAAAAAAAGAAAAGAAAAAGACATTTGATGACATTGTAAAGATTCAGATTGACTTTAATCAACTTCCATGTTTTATAAAAATTTTATTTAAAGGTACACATTTGTTTTGAGCATGGCCTTTCCTCCTGGGGGGCAATTTCTCTCTTTCCCTCACCCCGTCTCTTTCTGGTAAGTGCTCATGCCCTATAACAAAAACTGGAAAAAAAAAGAAAAGAAAAAGACATTTGATGACATTGTAAAGATTCAGATTGACTTTAATCAACTTCCATGTTTTATAAAAATTTTATTTAAAGGTACACATTTGTTTTGAGTAGAAAGAAATATTACTTGCCTTTAGGCTGCCATCACTTCAAATAGGAGCAATTAAACATTTTGTTTCAGCAATGAAAATTCTCTAGATGACATACGGTCAGATTTGGAGAGCAAAATCAACGTGAAGGCTACTCGGCCAAAGACATTTTTTGGAATATTGAAATAGGATTACCCTCACACTGATGGTACACAAAGAATCACATTAACTTTACAAGCTACCACTATTAATTAATGATAAATGTAGTATAAAATTTATCATTATGGCCCAGTCAGTGGAGCATAAACTGAAGCATAACAGATTATGGGATTGGAAGCCACATTGCCAACCATGATTTGAGTTCCCAGCCTCATCAGCTTGAAAACATGCCAGGAGTGGGCATGAGGCCCAGGATCCTGGAGGACTGGAGGAACAAGATTGTAGCATGAACATGCTCTGTAGAAGGTGCTTCTCACTCTGTCTCTGTCTTGTGCACACATGTGTTTTATCATGAATAATAAAAGAAATTTAGTTTATGACCTCCATTTGCTTTTGCATAATGTAACCCCTTTGACAAATTTTAATATTGAGATGTATTTTTTTATTCTTAGATGTTTGCATGATATATGCCATTGGAAAATTAATGAATGAAATTGCCAGTTAATTTTTTTTCCCAAATGATTACTTGTCCTTTCTGTAGGAGGGAATAGAATCCGGGGAACCTGGCACTGATGATGGGAGATTTTATTTTCACCTGGGGGACGCCATGCAGAGGGTTGGAAACAAAGAGGTAAAGGGATTGTGAGTTTCCTGTTCTAGCTAATGGCGGGTAGACTGGGGGGAGGGGAGAGGCTGCAATATTTCTTGGAGAAAGTTACAATTGGAAAATTATGTTGAGCATAAACTTTTGAAGGCAGCAATTTGAATGACTTACCTATTTAGACTATGTTCAAAACAACCTAACAACTCCAGTTTAATCCTACAAAGAATTTCAAGGATTTACCTTTTATAATTTCTTTAAAGAAATCAAGTAATTAGAGAACAACCTCTAAGCTGGTGTGTGTATTTCTGTGTGTATATGTGTGTGTGTGTATGACTGTGTGTGTCTATGGATGTCTAGAGAAATAGCTGCTGCCTTTGAAAAATATATTGAAATTATGAAAAGAAGGGATGTCTCTGAAAGGGTTTAAATTTAAAAAAAACTATTTTAACAATTTGCCTGTATTGATTTTTGTGTTATTTTGGAATTTTATGAGTAGTTATTTTTAGAAAGAAGCCTTTATTCAGTTGATTCGTAAGCACACCAATCATAATGGTTAATTGTGTAACTTCTGACACATTAAATACTAAATTTAAACTGAACAGGTAGCTATAGTAATGATAGATACTGACACAAAACATATAGCAACTAACATAGAAGTTACGTGTTTTCTCTATGACTACTATTTTCTGAGTAGTGTCAGCTTCTGTAAACGTAACACTGTGTTGCCAATCATTACATCGTCATGTACCGGATCATGGCTTCCATGGTGCTGCTGGACTGGGTAGCGAAGCTCCCCTTTCCTGCAATGTTCACCCCTGCAGGGGGTATAGACTGGGCTGTCCTTAGAGGAAAAAAGCATGACGTGAGACACGGAATCTTTTGCATTCTATACATGTAATCAGGTGACATCTAAGAATAACACAGCTCAGATTTCTAAAATTGAGAAGAACATAGGCCCATCTGGACAATTAAGGGTTCAGAAAAGAAGAGGGGGTGTTAGGGGTAATTACTTGTTGGACATGAACCAATTTGAGGTAATGGAAATTTGGATAGTTGCCACTATTTTCTTTATAGGTTTCTATTTATTTTTACCTTTACCCTTCTAACCAACTCAGTCAGTCAATTGAAATAAAACGAAACGCTGGAAGTGAAGAGAAAGAAAGGAGAAGGGGCTAGCAGGTGGCATGGTAGTGAAGGCACTGGACTCGCACATGGTCAACCACAGTTCCAGTCCTGGGCCCAGCAACTTGAAAATCATGCTGGAGCATGTGTGTGCATGCCCAAAATCCCCAGAAAAGAATGGCTGAAAATGGATTGCTGTGTGGCCATTCCCCCTTGGGGACTTCCCTTCTCTCTGACCATTATATGCACCCTATGGTGAAAGCCTTTTAAAAAAAAAAAAGAAGAAGAAGAAACTGCTGCCATAATCATTTTTTTGTGTTTCTTCATTTTTTTTTTTTAGCTATAAATGCTTGTACCTTCTTTGAATGAAAGGGATGAGAATGATTTTGCTACAGTATGTAAATGTTCATGTCTGACTACTGTAAATATAATTGTCACTAATTAATTTATCTTTGAACATTTCATGGTCCAGGGCAAAGAAAGATAAAAGAAGTCTCTGATTTATCTCACATCTTAGATGAAAACAGCCTTTAATTCAAGGGCAGAGAATTCACAACTAAACACTCGCTAAGGGCTTGGGATTTGAACCTATGGGACTGTTGTATCAGCTTAATTATTACTAACATGGGAGAAGAGCACAGTTCTTGAATTTTAAAAGTCATAAGAATTTTTCCTTAGAGAACAGAAACCAGCCTATGGAAACCCCATTTGAGTATATTCGCACTGCAAGGTGTTGGAATCTGAATTGGCTGTCCTGCTCTGAGTTTGGCTATGTGGAGACTGCTCCCCTTCCTGTTCTTATGTATGGCACTCTATTTCAACTCTCAGGGTAGATGGACACTTGAGATGCAAACTCACAGCCTTTGTGCTGCAGAGACTGACAATAAATGGGTTTTGAAGGACATCTTTCTAATAGGTTCATTTGGCATGGGTAGAAGGGGGGAAGAAAAGCCATGATAATCTTGTAGCAGTTCAGCTGCAGTTGCCCCCTGTATTTCCATAACTCTCCAGTCCACATCCTGTGTAGATCAAGTTTATTCTAAGCTCAGATCCATGTGTCTGCTGCCCGTGTGGTGTCACCGCACGTCACAGGAACAACTCACTGGTCTTCCTCTGGGCAGTTTCGTCCCGTGTTTCATCCCATTCGATGATATTGCCAACATTATAGGGTCAAGACTTAAGTCAGCTGTAGCCCCTCCCTCTCCACCTCACTCCAGTCTGGTCAGGGCCACTTACAGAGTTGGCTTGCTCAGGTGTCCATCATCCACCTCACCCCGACTCCTGCTCAGCCTAAATTCCAGCCTTTGGCACCTGCCACCCCAATGATGGTGTGAGACCCTGCCTATTGTTTCTTGGTTTAGTCTCCTCCAGCCCACGCTATTCTCAAAAAGTCTGTGATGTAAAATAAAATGAAATCCTGTGTCCTGTTTCTATGTGGTGGCATTTAGGATCCTTCCTAGGCAAGTAGCAGCCAGTCATTCTTACAGAAGTGTCTCCAGGGCCTGCGATGAGGCTCCTAGCAGGGCAGACTGTGGCAGGTCCACATGTGACAGCCCAGTCCACAGACGCCACCTGGGCTTTTCTGAGTTGAAATCTTTCAACATACTATTTCTGTGTGTGTGTGTGTGATTTATACAAAGCAATAATGTGAAAAGATGAGAAGGCATTGCTATAAAACACATTTAGGAGGGTGGCCAGGTACTTTTCTTGTCTGTTTTAAAATTCCTGATTAGAAAGGAGGGAGTAACAAGGAGATATCCAGAGATTCTAACTTGATTTTCTCCAATTTTTAGTGTAAGGTGGATGTTTGGGGAGAAAAAGAAAAAGCAGTCTCACTGAATTTTTTGAGCTAGGTTCTTTATGGATACACACACACACACACACACACACACACATATATATATATGTGATTTTTTTTAATTCCCGTTACATCATTTTCACAATTTTGTTTCTCCTAAAAGTCAATTGACAGAAGAATGGAAAATTAACAGTACTTTTGGATGCAACAATAGTTACTTTGAGGGTCAGAAAATATCTAGGAAATAGTTTAAACATCCCATTGTCAGTGAAGTGACTTGCCCAGGTGACCAGCCTGGTGAATATTAAAGGCCAGAATAAAATGGAAGACTTCTGAACTCCTAGACCAGAATATAATATTTGCTGCTTTGGTTTTCCTATAACTATTGTTCTCACTAGTCTAACAATGTGCTTAGTTCTTAAAGTGAATTGCTAGTAACTCAAAAACTAATGGAGTATGAAATTTTCAAAAACCCTCATCTGCTATTATTATTATAATATTATAATTTGCTTTTTAATACCAAAACATACAGGTAATACAACCTCAAATGCAAATTGGACAAAAATAACCATAATAATTGAATTAACTTAAAAGTGAAATGCTCTTATTTTAAATTAAACAATACTTAGCCATTTTAAGTGTATGGTTTAAAAAAAAAAAACAGAAACTCTAGCTAGAACTTACGTGTATTTCAAAGAAAGCATTTAAAAATAATTAGTATATGCATTCCTGATTTGAGATGTAATGAGAAAGATAAATAAAATCACTTGTGATGTTTTTTTCCCCTAATTATGCGAAGATAGAAAGAGAGTAGATGAAATCAGGAGCCCTGGATTCTAGTCAGCATAGTCTGCCTTTATGAATCTCAATTTCAATATGTGTAAAATGGAGATGTCTGGGCTTATTCAAAAGCTTGATTTTCTCCTATTTTTAGTGTAAGGTGGATGTTTGGGGGAAAAAGAAAAGCAGTCTCACTGAATTTTTCGAGCTAGGTTCTTTATGGAGATATATATAGATAGATAGATACATATATATCTCCATAGCTCAAGTGAGATTCCACATGTAAAAGCAGGTAGAGAAGTGTAAAGTTACAGAAAATAGGAGTTGGTGTTACTGTCACTCTTCATTTTCCTAATGAAGGAAAATAGGAAACAGGAATCTTGAAAGATTTTTTAAAATTAGTATTTTTTGCCTCTACAGCTTATCTAGAGTTTCATGAAGAAGATATGCAAGTTGACATTAATGCTTATTCTTATAAGCATTACGCATACTCACACACACATACATTTGAAGTCACTCTTCGAAGGTAATTATTAGATCAGACTTGTAATCATGGAGGGGATCAGATGAAATGCACCACCAGAATCACCTTCCATTCCAAAGACAATAGAGTATGGCGGGTGCAGGAAGCGTGTGGGGAGGGCCCCAGGGAGAGCATATGTTTGGGGCGTCATTTGAAGGAGCCATATGGAGCTGCATGCTCTGCAGCCAGCTGTCCCTGAAAAGGCTAGTCTTCTTGGAGACAAGCTGTATCAAGTTACAGCTAGCCTAAAGCCACAAATGTTAGCCCTTATGGCAGAAAAAAGCATAGTAGGAACAGTTCCTCTTAAAAAAAAATCCAGTGTGACTACTACTACATTTATTGCCAACGCATAATTTCTATTCTGTCGAGTTAATTTAATGAGGACTTGCACTCTTATCACCTTGGGGTTGCCTTCTTAAATGTGGACATAGAAAGTGCATAGGAAAAGAAATCACTGTCCATTTTAGCTTCCCAGTTCAGTAAAGCTATCTTTGAAGAAATTATTACAATCATAATCCTTTCTTCTTAAAGAAAACATAAAAACAGAACTTAAATGATAAAATTACAATGTAAATATAGCCCCCTTTGGTGTCTTAAATTATTTTTCTATTTAGCAAATAAATCCTAGATTTTTCTGGGCACTTTAGAATGAGGCAAGAACCTTGAGAGATAACAGCCTAAAAGTGAAAATCAAATCCACATGTTCATTTATATCAATAGGTAATTATAGAAAACCCAGTGAAATAACAAGGTTCACCTAATTTCAGTAGATTTGGGTATGTAACAAGCAAGCTTGTTATATAAGTGTCCCAAACTAGTATCTTCTTGGGGCCAGATGATGGTGAAACAGTTATGCCACGCTCTGTGAAGCTGACCCCCATGGGAAGAAGGTTCTGGGTTTGCATCCCGAGTCCTCCCTGAGTATGCGGGGTACATGTGTGCCCGTGATCCAGGGCTGGCTGAGGCGGGGGGTGAATTGTGGTTTCAAGACTGTTAAGGGAGCATCTTCTCTCTTTCTCCCATTTCTTAATCTGTCCTCTTGCTCAGGGAATGAACTAATAAACTTTTAAAAAACACCTTCTTTTTAATATGTCTTTAATTATACAATTAATGTAAATGCTCTGTTGGAAGCATGATGTGGAGCAGTCTTTCTGTTCTTTCAGGCCTATACATGGTACGAACTTGGGCACAAGCGAGGACACTTCGCGTCGGTTTGGCAGCGCTCACTGTACAATGTGAATGGACTGAAGGCCCAGCCATGGTGGACTGCAAGAGAAACAGGCTACACAGAGTTGGTCAAGGTGAGCGTTCACTTAAAGCGTCCTTTCCTAATCTTTGTGTGCATCATACTCAAAATTAGAGAATGTTTGTCATGGAGAGGAATGTCAGGGAGGGAATAGATTTTATTTCCAGTGATATTTATTAAAAAAATATAGAAAAGATATTCCATCCCATCAGCCATAAATTTTGTTTAGATGATTGCGAAGGGAGTTTGGGGCCAGCCACGTAGCGTGGTGGTTAAGGTGGCTGGATCCCACATGGTCAACTGAGCAGTTCGAGCCTTGGACCCAGTGTCTTGAAAAACACACTGAGTACATGTGCATGCATGCACAGCATCCTGAGAGGATGAGAAGGGATCGCAGTATGGCCATCTGCCTGGGGAGTGATTTCTCACTTTCTCTGTCCCTCTGCAGTGAGCACATGTGCAATATAGCAAAACTAAAAAAAAAAAAAAAGAAAAAAGTATATTACTAGACCAAGGAATTTTTGTTGATGTGAGTTATATTTATCAATATTTATCAATATGATCATTAGAAATTAAAAATGAAAAAAAATTATATATGAATTTAAAAAAAAATAGTAATAACCCCATTCCATGCTAATATAAGTAACTTTTTTTTGGAGAGGTTTTTGCTATAGGGCATGTGCGCGCGCCAGAAAGACAGAGAGAGACAGAGACAGAAAGTGAGAAATCACCCCCCGGGGGGATGACCATGTCACAATCTCTTTCTCCTCCATTCTCCTCTCGGGATCTTGGGCACAGACGCACATGCGCCCGGTGTGAGTTTAAGCCACTGGGTCCAGAACTTGAACCCCCGTCGACTACATGGGAGTCCAGCGATGTAGCCATTATACCATCTGCTGGTCCCAACATAAGTAACTTTTTAAGAAGTTCAAAACATGTAGTAGTTCCTACTACATGTTCAAAACAAAATGTAGTAGGAAGATCTGAATTGCTTTTCAGTTTTATAATTTTTTTTCCAGAATTACTAAATTAAATTAAATTTAATTTAAATTATTATTACTACTATTATTTTTTAATTTGCTATAGGACACATGTGCTCTCCAGAGAAAGAGAGTGAGAAGCAAGCTGCCAGGTCTAGAACTCAAACTCCAGTTGGTCCTATGGGAGTCTGGCACCTTAACCACCATACCATCTGCTGGCACCTTTACAAACCTTTTTAATGCCTGGTTTAATAAAAGAAAGAGTCTTATGTACATCTACTTTACACAGACGCCCATTAATATCACCCAGTGATATGTCACGTAACCTCTAGAAAGCTCCACTATGTGTCTATGAAAAAATGAACATGAAAAGAGAGCAAATTCCATCTTTGTATTATTAAGAAAACAGTTTAGCAGACCCCTTCAAAGGGCCTAGGGAACCCCCAGGTTTCCCTGGACCAGTCACTCTGAGAACCAGTGCTCCTACAGCTGTGGGATGTATGTTGGTGCTGGGGTATGAATATGTTTAGAAAATTTTGTAGCAGGTATGTACAACAGAGTCATTAAAGATTCTAACTTAATAGTTTTTTAAAAATTGAAGTTTTTATATTGGGATTTTAAATTTGACCCTTAAATATCTACTTTGTGACTTTGGTCGAAGCTGGTCAGACATGCACTTTTGCTTTGATAAGCCCCTCCTTTTTCTTAGCAACATTAATAAAATGGGACTTACAGTTAATTAACTCATGGTTTCAGTAATACTGTTTTCTACTCACACTGTAAAATGTAAAAATGATACATATCTTCTGGGTTAAATGGATTTCCATGTTCTGATCTTTGAGTCTATTTGTCAAATATATAAGAAATATAAGACAATTTATTTTGATCTTCAGACAGTTGGTTTTACAAAGCAAAAGCGACAAAATTTTGATAATTCTAGAATCTGGGTGACGAATGTATGGAGGTTTGTTCTTTCTACCTTTAGGGATCCAGAGGGACTTCATAAGTTTGTGGAAAAATGGAATTAAAGCACCAATTTATTTTGGTGCAACAATCTTGAAATCCATGCATAGCATTTTCATCATACACATTTTCTTATTTTTTTCTTTTTTTGGGGGGGAGGGGGGAGAAGTTTTTGCTATAGGGCATGAGTGCTCCCCAGGAAGACAGAAAGAGACAGACAGAAAGCGAGAAATCACCCCATGGGGGGATGGCCATACCGCAATCCCTTCTCCATTCTCCTCTCGGGATCTTGGGCACGTACACACATGCGCCCAGAGTGACTTTAAGCCACCGGGTCCAGGACTCAAACCATAGTCGACTACATGGGAGTCCAGTGACATAGCTATTTCACCCACTGCTGGTCCCCATAATACACATTTTCATAGACTTTTTAAAGACACTTCATACGTTTAAACTGTTTCATATTTTTCTTGTTAAAGAACATCTTTTAAAAATCTGTAAGACTTGGGCCAGTAGGTGGCGTGGTAGTTAGGGTGCTGGACTCACATGGCCAACTCTAGTTTGAGTCCCAGAGTTGGTGACTTGAAAATCACACTGAATGTGAGTGCGTGCATGCCCAAAATCCCAAGAGGAAAGTAGAGGAGGAGGGATTGCGGTGTGGCCACCCCCCTGGGAGGTGATTTCTCACTTTCCCTTTCTCTGTCGTTCTCTGTCTCTCTCCAGTGAGGATGCATGCCCTATGACAAAAGCCTAAAAAAATTTTTTTTTAAATATGCAAGACTTAGAAGACTTCGCTGATTAATTTTATCCAGTTGGAGAAAAGAGAATTTTGAATATACTTACAGTAAATAGATCTTACTTGAATGTATTCTTCTGTATTTCATTATAAAAGCGTAGTTCATCTTCATAATCCAGTTGTAAAGCAGGCTGCCATCAGTCCGCCTTTGACTGTTTTATAGTACAGCAGACTGTGGTATGGTGACAGTGACCTGATTGATTCCAGGGCTTTCATATGCAAAGCAGACACAGTACAGGAGCGACATCTTCCTTGATAAATCTACTATATTTAGCGTTGTTGGTGATCCTTTCCCCTGGAAAATTCCATTCTCCCTGAGATGGGTACTCTTGAGCTCTTCTGATTATTCACTACCATTTACTACTCTTTTTTTTTTTTAATGAGTTTATTTCCCTATTGTAACTTAGATGCTTTCAAGTAACAGAAATGCAGTTCAGACCTGGTTTAGATGAGAGAAAATCTGGTTGATTCACAAGCCTGGAAGCCTAGCAGTAGGGCAGATTCCAGGGGTGGTCTAGCCAGGGGAGGCTTTTCCTGGCTCTGCACTTCCTCCTTGCACCCTTGTCCTTGGGCTCACTGCAACTGGAATGGAGTAGCGTAGTTGGAAAATGTTCGTGGCTCCATAACTCTGTTGAATCTCCACACCAGGCCTAAAAAGTGTTCTAGAAACCTTCAGGCAAACCCTCTGCTACTGCTGGTAACCATGCCCCATGAGCACTCACAGTTACGAGCAAAGTCTGACACCAAGTAGCTGGCAGTAGGCTGGGACAGCCTACTGGGGTAACTCTCCACCAGCCAGGGAGAGGAACCGTGCACTTCGGTCTGATTGAGCTACTTTAAGTCAGATTGCCAGTCCTGGTGAATTAGAGGCAAAAGGCTATAAGATTATCTGTGACCCAACCCCACTACTGCCCTCAAAGTTACTGATGCCTGCTCTTATGCCTTGTATCCTTCTTTGTGCTAGTCAGGTGTTGTTTCATAATTCTATTTCCTTGGACTTCTTGATTGTAGCTCTGCCTATTTTTTTTTTTTTAAGAATGATTTTTGCTGTAGGGTGTGTGCACTCACCAGAGAGACAGCAGAGAGAAACAGAGACAGAAAGCAACAAATCACCCCCCCCGAAGGGGGGGGGGTGGCACGAGATAGCCACACCGCAATCCCTTCTCTTCCATTCACCTCTTGGGATCTTCGGCATACATACACACATGTGCCCAGCCTGAGTTTTAAACTGCTGGGTCTGGGACTCAAACCTTGGTCGACTACATGGGAGTCCAGCAACATAACCATTACGCCATCTCTTGATCCCAGCTCTGCCCATTTTAAGCTCCATTTTATTTAACAAGAAAAGCAAGGCCTTAATGTTCACAGTCACCTTCAATATGGAATCTCAGCGTGTGTGACAGCTCACAGTTAAGACTCAGTGCAGTGCAATAGCACTTTCCTTTGTTATCTACCTTTGTTTGCAGAAATGTTAATTTAAAAAAAAAAGAATTTCAAAGTGACTGCTTGCTAATAATGACTATGACCATCAAAGAGCCTGCCATGTGAGGAAACCCAGGGTCCATTGACTATCTAGTTGACAAGATACTGCTCCATTTTCCAACTACAGATTTGAATATAACGACCGCCATGGATCATCACACAGCTATTGACATCTTAACATGGAAACCTAAATCTAGTAGCCGCTGTGTTTGGTCAAAATATTAATACTTTCAGAATAATTACCCAGATTTTGGCCCTGTAAGATACTTTTAACTACTGTAGACAGCACATTTTTATTCAAGTTATTCTCACTGTATATTCCAGTGAGGTGTAGATAGCAATGTTTTTCTTTCTGTAGGATGCACACATTCTCTGGAAAGAGACAGAGCAAGAGAAAGGGGAAGTTAGAATCACTCCCCAGGAAGGCTTGCCATGCTGCAGTCTACTCTCCTCCATTTTCTTTTGGGATTTTGGGTACTCACACACACGCACCTGGCATAATTTTCAAGCTACAGGGAGCAGGATTTAAACAGTGGAATTGACTCTGTGGGCTCCAGCACCTGAACTTCCATGACAACTGCTGGCCCCGGATCGCAGTTGTTTTAAAGGCATGAGACACTGCACTAGCATGCATCATTTGTGTTTTTCCCTTTTGTTGAATTGTCATCGTCCTCCCTCATTTTGTAGCTTGTAATTTGGCAGCTCTGGAAACTGGGGATTATGCAACTAAATGAAAATATTCAGGAAAAAACACTCCAGTGCAGTTTTCTCCTTGGGGCTTATTTTCATTAAATTTGAATGGGTTGCTGCCCAAATCACAAATATGTAAGTGCT